TCCTTTTGGGGGTCTGGGAAGGTATTCCAATCAGGTATTCATGAGGTATTCCCTAAACCCTAAACCCTAAACCTCAGGTATTCATGAGGTCAGCCCGAAAGGTTGGTCTTCTTTTGTTTGGTTTGGGTGCTCTCTCAAGGCAGAGAGACCTCTACCGCCCCTAAACCCTAAAGCCCTAACCCCAAAACCCTAACCCCTAAACCATTCCATGTTGCCTTCAAGAAGAGGCGTCCCCTGGGATCAAAGCGGCCTCTGCCCTTTCCGCTTTGCGCAAACGGTTGGCATGGCACACCAGCACCATATAAGTGGATGTGCATCCGCAGGTCTCGGTATGTGACAAGCAGACACACACACACACACACATGTGCACACACACGATGACTGGCCATGGCCCTTGTCCCTGCAGAGACCTGCTGACCAGCGGCTGATCGGTCGCTGAGCATCATCAGATAAAATTGCCGGGGAATATAAATAGGCAATACGATCTCGCAAGTTCTTGTTGCTCTCGGATGCATACACCAATTTGTGTCGTAGTCCCGCCAACCTGAGATGAGTTAATTTACTATGGTTTGAAACTGTTAGCACCACTCCCTAAAACCATAGAATAGCTTTAGAATAACCCGTTAACTTAAACCCTAGCCTAACCTTTAACCCCGAATCCCTGGTTTGGTCTTCAGGGTTGAGGGTTCAAGGCTTGAAATGTCTTCGAAGCTTTCCTCGACACTGTGCAAATTTTTGATTTCAAATCAAATACATATTGCACCCCAAATAAACTCAAAGTCCTGAAGTCCAAACCGCGTGCCCTGAACCCAACCCTTAAATCCTTAGCCTAAATAGTAACATCTCCAACTCAAGGAGGATGGCTCGGAGCGGCGAAGATCGTGATTGTCACCGGGCGGAGTTTCAGGATTTGGGGCTTTAATTGTTATAGGAGTTTAGGGTTTAGGCTTTTGGGGTTCAGAGCTTGGCTTACAAAGATACACCCTAAAACCCTAAACCATAAAACCCTTTAAACCACACTGACTGACCACTATCCAGCATGCCACTTGCAGCAGACACTCAGGGGCTCTAGGCCAGCAAAGTCTGAAGCCAGATGTAGAAGCATTGCATTGCAAGGGTAAGACCAAGGGGTGAATCATGTGAGGTTTAGGATCCAGGTGGTATGGCTTAGTTTACTGGCAGGGGTTTCGTTTGTATCTTGAAGGTCATAGGATCAAGTATTCAAGGTATGCAGACCGGCTACAACTGGAGGCTGTGGGGGCATTTCTAAAACACCTCGAGCATGTGCAATAATCAGTCCAACAGAATTTCCAACATGCATGCGCTGCACCAAGCGGAACAATTCAGTGTCCGGCAATACACAAGCACGCACACTCAGACTTCCAGCAGGGCCGTGTTGAAGTTGTCAAGTGCTTCAGCAAGGCGGTGGCCAAAAATGGGACTATCAAGCATGATTGAGCATACGAGAACCCCCTGGAACCTAGCATTGCTCATTGATGCTGCTTGGACCTCATAAACAGACGTATTGAGGTAGCCCCTGGCCATTGCACCGCTAAACAAGGCTCTCACTTCAGGTTGAAGAGACTCTTCGCCAGGGACGACTTGGCTTTTGCTTTTTTCTTCGGAGCCACCTACTTAGTTTACAGGGGGGGGGGGTCATTGGTCATTGAAGCCGATAAATCATTTAATGACCTGCCTGTGCCTTGCCACGTCCCCGTCCGCGGCCACGTCGGCCACCTTTTCCGCGCCCTTTGCCCTTCTTAAGATTCGGAACCTGCAATGGCAAGTTACATATGGGGTGCTACTCTTAAGCAGGCAAACAAACTAAGCTAACTATGCTATGGGTTCGAGTTGAAGTTTCGGACTACCAGGAATTAAAATGGTCTAATTCATAATCTGGCCTCTTCATCACCTTCATCATCTTCTTCTTCCGACTGTTCATCCATGTCTTCGCCCTCATCATCATCTTCATCGGCTTCGTCATCTTCATCGCCATCCTCCTCCTGTGATGGCCCTTCATCCGCCGAGCCAAGATCTTCCTCGTCTTCATCTGTCTTCTTCTTCTTCGAAGAGGATGGCTTGGGCTTTGGCACCTAGGCTGCAGCAGTAACTAAATCCTGACTTCCCTAAACCCGTGAGCCCCCGAAACCCCCAAACCCCTGGCCCTAGACAACCAATGCAAAAACAAGGTATTTTTAATCCCCAAATCCCGAAAGCCAGAACCCCTAAACCTCAAAATCCCTACACCCTTGTATCAATAAAGGCACCGCCTTGCGCTTCTTCCCCAAGAGCTGAACCAGCCCGGACTCATAAAGCGGAGAGTCCGCTTTTTGAAACTCCTGGAACACTTGAGCCTCAAGTCGTCGATACAACCCTTCCTTGTGATGATCATTGAACGTGATTCCCACCAGCTCGGCCCTCCGCTTGATAGCCAGCATACACGTCTTGCCGTCACCGACAGACAAGTCCAGCATGCACTGGATGTTGTAGGCATGAAAGAATTCTTCCACCTCGGTTCAGTTTCATGACACGTCACAACCTCGAAATCAGCTTTGGCCCTAACCCTGAAAGGCCCAAACCGGAGGGTTTTGAAAGGGGTCTAAGTCGTGGGGCTTTAAGGTCTGGGGTCTTAGGGTTCAAGGCTTGGTGATTGCACACAGAGGTACAGCAGCTTCCGGCAGAGCATGGTAGCTCATCGGCTCCTTGTCACTGTCTTGGCGGCGTCCTGGGTGAAGGGCTTTGGGCTTGTAGGGTTTAAGAAGGTCGAAGGCTGTTGAATTGTGAAAGGACTTTATACCCTAAGCCCGAAACCCTAAGCTCTAAAAACTTAAAGCCTAAACTAGCCGTAGTCAATCAAGCTTTGGGAGTCTGTATAGATTTCAGGGTATTGTTTAATGTGTAGGACCTAGGGGAATTCGAAGTTAATGGCATGAATTATGGTAGCAAGCAGCCTCCACCTCCATCGTCATCGGGCTCGTTCTTGCCACCAACACGGACCATCTGATTTCCATAAATGTCTTTCTTCTCGGAAAACGTCACGATCCAAGTCTCACTCTCGTCCTAGTTAAATTAAGTGACACCACAATTTCACCGACTACTAGGCTTTGTTAAGTTAGACTGAGGCAGGCAAGGTCACTCCTCCCACGATGGTGCCTGGATCGGCCCGACTATCTCTCCTCGTGTCGAGCCACCATAGTGGCACCGGTCACGATACGGCGCGACCGCGCCGTCGTCACTGGTCACGATATAGACACGTTCAGCATTGTAAACGTGGTGGCCCTTGTCGCGCTTTCGCCGGCTTCTCAAGCTCGACTCCGAGACATGTAGCATCAGCGTGGACTTCACCTTGTTGATACTCTCACCTTCCGGCCCTTTGATTGATCCCAGCATGGCGGATTGCACTCCTGATGCATTGCACTGATGCGTGAAATTGAGGATGATCATACGGGTCATGAGTTCAGTGTGTGAGACCAACCCCCCGAATCACCAGCCCAGCTTGTAGTGGACAATGCTTCGATGTCCGTCTGAATGGACCACAATTCGCTATCCAGCCGAATGGACCACACTTCGCTATCCGCACTCATGGACAATGCTTCGATATCTGCCCACATGGACAATGCTTTGATTCATANNATAGTACTATTAAGCTTAGTCAGTACACTTAGAGCTTTCACTTCCAAGATGCAAGCGGCCTTCTCGTCCTCCGTCTAGCAATAGGATCACATCTGACGCCGGCAAACATCCCTCGGATGTCATTCGGCAAGCCAATGCTGCTTGCATAAGCTTGGGAAGTCTTCCTTCTCGCAAGGGAGGCATGCGAACGGACGGCTGTGTGGCCGCCTCCCCACTCAGCTTTGAGTCCTGGGAATTAAAGAAAAAAGCTTAAGGATTTCTTTTCGCACACCATCCGACAGCCGAAGCAACTCATAATTCCAGCAGGGGCTCGAAGTAGATTGCGACAGACCTGTTGAAGATGGTCCTCAGTTAAGTGCAGTTGGCAGTCCATTGGATATATGTTTTAAAATGGGAATCAAGAGTTTGTAGTCCCACAACACAGTATGTGAAGCCGGGTGTCTGGTCTTGCAGTTGCGAAACCTCACCCTTCCATTCAGGGACTTTGGTCGCACGAAGGGCCTTTGTCATTCCTTTCACATTCACATCCTCGTTCACAAGGAGCACGTGGGTGCGCACCATCTTCATTGCTTTCTCTTTGAACCTCAGAATGCAGAAGTTGAGGTCTTGACTTAAAGGCTCAAATCGAAGGGGTCTGAAGGGGTTTCTATGGTTTGAGGGCTTATAGTGTCTAGGTCGGCTTCTCGGGGGTTGGATTAAAGTAAGAAACTTAAATGTTGATACCGAG